GGCCTCACTCTGTTGCCCAGGCTGGAGTGTAGTAGTGGGATCATGGCTCACTGCAGCTTTGAACTCTCGGGCTCAAGCAAATGCCAGCTTCCCAAGGAGCTAGGCATGCGCCACCACACGCAGCTAATTTTTAATTTGTTTGCAGCAACAAGGTCTCACTATGTAGCCCAGGCCAGTCTTGAACTCCTGATCTCAAGCAACCCTCCTGCCTCAAAGCGCTAGGATTACAGGTGTCAGCCACCATGCCCAGACTCTAATCATCTTTAATCACCCCATAAAATGATGAGAAGACTGAGGTCCAGCAAGAGGAAAGGAAAGTGAGTACAACCCGCCACGGGCCCTTCTCTCACATGCAGCCAGTTATGCTCCTAAGAAGGACCCTGAAGTCCAATTCCAGCCAATTCATGGCTGCCAGGGGTGCCCTGCTGGAAGATGCCGTGATCGATTAGCCATGTCTGCACTGATGAGGGCATGACTACCAGCAGCAAAACTTGCACAAATCCACCTAAATAACAGAGATCGAATCTGATTTTCCTTGGAAGCAATGTCCTCGGAAGGTGCTGTGTTCTATCTAGAGACCTGTCGCCCAATGTCTAATTGAATCTCTTGCAAGCAAAGTGTTTACTCAGCTGAACGTAAGGGGCCTGTTCCCCACACAGGCACAAGCAATCAGGGTGATAACCACATGTGTGGCAGCTTTTCTGGTCTGCAAAGCTCTGCTGTCATATCGCATTTGCCTTATGTGCTGCTTTGTCTTCAATGCAACTCTATGAAGTAGGTATTACCATTTCTGTTTGACAGGTGGGGAGGCTGGGGCTCAGAGAGGTTCAGAAACTGGCCCAAGGTCACACAGCAAGAGGCAGAATCAGGCTCCAGGTCTGTCTGACTCAGGAGCCCAGCACTTTCCACACTGCTAGACACCACCTACCCATGATTCAAACAGCGCAATCTATCCCCTGACATTTCAAACCCAAAGGCCTCCCAGCTGAAAACTCCCAGCTAACAGCGCATGCCCAAGGTCCAGGCCAGCAGGGAGCGGTGCTGACATTTGGGTGAGTGGACCTTTCTCCTTCCCCAGCCCCCCGGCTCTGGGAGGGTCCCAGCAGCCTGCTGGCTCTCCGGTGAGTCAGGCTGTGACTCAGGGCCTAGCTCTGGGCTGGGCGAGGAGTTGAGTCAGGGAGCGCCAGGCTTCAAAGAGTGGCTGGCTCTGGGCCAGGGCCCCTCAGCACTAGGGACACAGCTTGGGCCAGGCCGTCTGGGGTGGGCCCTCCCACGTGGCCCTGCCCCGTTCTGGACCTGGCAGTCATTGAAGCTGCTCCCACCAGCCTGACCCTGCTGCCTTTGAGCTTCCTGTGAGGAACAGAGCCACCCTCTGCAGGGTCTCGACATGCAAAGGGTCCTCAGTGGCAGTCACGGTGACTGACGGACACTAATATTGAGCACCCAGGGGCCTGTCATTACAAGCTGTCATGCAAAACAGCCCAGACCACAAAACACGGTCACACCCAAATGTCAAGAGTGCCCCCGAGGAGCACCAGGTCAAGCACTGCTCCGGCCCCCCTACCTTCTGAGAACAAGAGGGAGGGAGGTTTCTGGCCGGGAAAGCATCCTAGAGCCTCAGAATCTAACCTGATCAGAGATCCCCCCACACACTCCCCATCTCCAAGTCCCTAGAGCCCACCCTGAGCCCCCTAAAACAAAGTCCCTGCTCCAGGGACCCCCGTGAAGGCCAGAGTTTCCTGGGCCTGTGTTTACAGACCCCCCTTGGCCCCTCTCCTGTCTCACCCAGGAGATCATGACATCTCAGGCCTGCAGGTCTGCAGCCATGGGACCTCGAACCCGCTAACTCCCAGGCACACAGCATCACAGCCACCAAGCCTTGGGCTCACACGCTCTTTGAAATACAGACTCTCACAGTCTTTGAATTACAGAAGCTTAGAATTTCAGCACTGCTGAACTTTCAATCTTGACTTTGAACCCTCGACTCAGTCACAGAAGTTTCCAGTCTCCGTATCCCAGAGCCTGACACTTTCGAAGTTGCTCGACTCTGGAATCACATCTCTGGTCAGGAGTTAACCCAGCCAGTTCCAGCTGAGACCTGAATTGCCTCCGTCTTCCACCCCAGCCTCCACAGTCACTGGTCATGGGGATGCTGGGAAAGCAGCTCCCAGGGTGGAGATGTCCCTCCTGCGGGGCAGGGAGCGGGGGCACTGGGTTCCCCTTGGACCCAGGCTCTCCCCAGAACAGACAAGAGCCAAGCCCAGCTCTGGCTCCTGAGACCCCTTCTGGATCGAGACCCTCCCCTCCTGGGCCAGCCCCACTGTGGTTCCAAAGCCCAGGCCACAACCTACACACCCCAAGGGTAGAGGCAAGAGGGGTGGTCAGGACCAAGGGGACAGTGATCCCAGGGACTCTTAGTCCGGCAGTCCAGAAATGTGGAAGCCTGGGTGGGTCCCCTAGGACTGGCTCATTGGGCAGGGCCCAGGGTGCCTGAGGTCAAGAAGACCTTTGTGGCGAGTGTGGCTGGTACCCCAGGCTCCCAGGGCTGGAAGGGGCATCTCATCCAGCCCTTCCTTTCTAGGTGGAGGTACTGAGGCTCAGAAACAGGAGACTGTCCAAAATCACACACATGGCAACAGGACTCAGACCAACCCCCCATCTGGGGCCTCTCAGTGATGCCTGGGCTAGCTTCCTGTTGCTTCCGCCCAGATGCACCTTCCAGGGCCCATCTGAGATGAACTGGGTCAGACCTGAGACCAAGGTCATCTGAGCCATGCCCCTGCCCCCATCTCAGAGTAGGACTGCCCCTCCTGAACACCTGAGGTCCAGAGAGGCAAAGTGACTTAATCAAGGTCACACAGCACCCAAGTGTCAGAGCCAGAATCAACTCTTGTCATCCCGCCCAAGAAGGCCCTGTGACATTGCTACATTCTCGCCCTGGGCCTCCAGCCAGCCTCTCTCTTCCTAAAGGCCCAGAGCTCCTGCAGTCACCCACTTCTCTGGCTGAGCCACTAGGCTGGTCACACGCTATAGGTCCCTAGAGTTTTCCCAACACTTTGTACTAAAACTACTCCCATAGGTGGTGCATCCCCCATTCCCAGAGCTCCCTGAGATAGACCAGCTTTTTTTTTTTTTTTGAATCAGGGTCTCACTCTGTCATCCAGGTCGGAGTGCAGTGGCATGATCACAGCTCTCTGCGGTCTCGACCTCCTGAGCTCAGGAGATCCTTCCACTTCTGAGTAGCTGAGACTATAGGCACGAACCAACCAACACACCTGGCTAAATTTTGGGTTTTCTGTAGAGATGAGGTCTCACTGTGTTGCCCAGACTGGTCTCAAACTCCTGGGTTCAAACAATGCTCCCATCTCGGCCTCCCAAAGTGCTGGGATTACAGACGTGAGCCACTGTGCCCAGCCTGTCCTCTGTGTCCCTGGGGCAAATATTAGCGCATATTGGGTAAACTGATTACTGTGCAGACCCTCTCACTGCACCTGAGACCCCCAGAGCTGTCCCAGGAGCAGCATCAAGGCTCCTGGTCCCCCACCCAGCTAGGGACACCCAGCTCTGCACCCCACCTGCTCCAGCGGAGACCCTCTGGCTTCTAAGAGTCTGGGGATGCAGTGTCACCTCAGCCCCCTGTGGAGGGGGAAGCCAACAGTCCCGGGACCAGCCCAGACACCCTAGCCTGCATCCCAGGAGGCCCCAACATCCAGGGCGGGGCTCATACCTGCAGCCTGAGCCACCAGCATCCCTGTCTTGGCCTGTGTGGCCACGAGCTCTAGCTCCAGGTCCCCAAGCCTCCTCCTCACCGGCCCGGGCCACCAGCTTACCCCTGCAATCCAGCCCTACATGGTCCAAACAAAACACAGGTCTCTCCAGGCCGCTTCTTTAAGCTCCGCCAGCTCCTAATGCCCATGGAACACAGTTCCGCTCCTCATGCCGCCTGCCAGGCCTGTAGGGTCCCTGCCATGTCCCCAGCCTCCAGCGCCTCTCTTCGCCAGGCCTTTGCTCCTACTGTTCCCTCCACCTGGAACCGTCTCCTTCCCACTGGCCTCTCCACCTAACGCCCTTCCCTACAAAGGACTCAGCCCAGGCACCCAGTGTGCACCCAGCAAACAGACACCGCACCTGTCATGTGCCAGGCACCACGTTGAGTACTGGGACCCACAGAGGACAGATCCCTGCCCAAGTCACCTGACAGTACCCCAGAAGGAGACAAACAGATTCAGAATTCCACAACAGGATATGACAACGAATGGAGAGGCTGACAGAGAATCACAGAGGGCTTCCCTGAGGAGGTGACACCTAAGCTGTGATTTGAAGAACACAGCAAAGGATTTGGCCAGGTGAAGAGGGAAGGGAAAAGTCTTTCAGACAGAGGAAAGAGCACAGGGGAAGCAGAGTCATGGAAAGTGAGGCCGGGTGGGCCTCACAGGGCCTGGTGGGCTGGGTCAGGACTTTGGACCTGCAGGGCAACAGGAAACTGTGAAGGGTCTCTAGCATGGGGTGACAGGAGTGCACTAGAGGCAGCAGGCCAAGTGGAGGCAGGAGGACCAGAGGGGAGGCTGCTTGCTGCTGCCTTCTGCCAGACAGAAGTGGGGGGTGAGGGGGGAAAGGGCTTCACACTACGTATTGGGATCAGTTGTCCTGGGACCCACGCCACAGGTTCCTCACCACGGTGCTCATCACCGTGGTCACCATCCACCAAACGGCTCAATCTCAGGAGCCAGGACAGGGCCTGACATATCTGTGTCCCCAGCCCCAACTCAGACCTGGGGTCACACCCAAGGACCCTCTGAGCCAGCCACTGGACTGACCTCTGCAGCCACCAACACCTCCAGAACCTTCACATCAGCAAAACACCAGGTCCTCGTGGTCGGCCTCACCCCAAGCCTCAGGTCTCCCAAGCAGGGCCAGGTGTGGGCAGGGGGGTGGATCCCAGTCCTGCCCCCACCCTTGGGCCCGGTGGGCCCCACCCAGCGAGGCTACAGGAAGGATATGGGTTGCATACCATCTTGATACACCAGTTCCGGGGGCTGGTGGTCTGTCGCAGGCAGAAGAAGGCAACTGGCGCCAGGTCCGGGTGTGGGACGTCGGGATCGGCTCCATCCAGGGGCTCCTCCGGGCCCGGAGGGGAGGGCGGGGGACTCCGGGGTCCCGGCTGCTCTATGGTGACTCCCGGCTCAGCGGCCGGGGCTGCGGCGGATGAGGAGGGCGGCGAGGCGCTCTCAGCCATGTCCGCACCGAGCTGGGAGCCTTGGGGAGACGGAGAGGAGAGGGTGGGTGGCACGTGCGGGGACAGGCCCAGCACGCACTCCCCAGCCTGCAGGGGCGCGGCTCCGACAGCCCAGCCCCGCAGGCTCCGCCCCCTCCCCCAGCCCGTGGGGACAGCTCAAGAGCTGGGGCCCAACTTGTCTCAGGGTTCGTCGGGTCAAGCTTCTTGAGCCTCCGTTCTGGCAACTGAAAATAGTGCAGCAAATAGTCTTCTTGGGATGTAATTATGATATTAGGTTTTTTTTGAGTTGGAGTTCCACTCTGTCGCCCAGGCTGGAGTGCAGTGACACAGTCACAGCCACCACAGCCTCGACCTGCTGGGCTCAGGCGATCCTTCCGCCTCAGCCTTCCAAGTAGCTGGAACTACAGGCGCCCGCCACCACGTCCGGCTAATTTTCTGATTTATTGTAGAGAGGTGGTCTCTCCAAGTTGCCCAGTCTGGTCTCGAACCCATGAGCTCAGGAAATCCTCTCGCCTTGGCCTCCCAAAATGCTGGGATAATAGGCTTGAGCCACTGCGCCTGACCGATATTAGGTTTTTTATAAAACTAGACTTGTATATTTATTGCATCATCAAAAGTAAAGAAAACTTGTGAGAAAAAAAGAGGTTACTGTAAAGACTATTGGCCGAATGATGCTTGCAACAAAGGAGAAGTTGGGGTGCCATGGAATCCGATACTGGGAGGACTCCTGGCAAACCAGGAAGAAATCATGGTAGGCTTCCCTGAGGAAGTAACACCTGAACTGAGACCTGCAGCTGATCCCTTGACCCCAAGGGACTCCCAACTATTGCCTCACAAGGCTGAGAACTCAGGGACCTTACAGTCCAACCTCTTTGCTTTACAGATGGAGAGACTGCATCATGGAGAAGGGAGGGACAGGACAGACATGCAGTCAAGTAACAGCAGAAAATGAACTCCAGTCAGGGCCAACATCCTGGGTCTGTGGCCTGGACAGCTGCATGGGACCCCATGTTCAGAAGGGCCCTGTGCTTGTTATATGTTCTGCCACCACCAACTTGAAACTCATCATATTTTCTCAAGGGTCCCCACATTTCCGTTGTGTCTGGGACCCTGCAAATCATACAGCTGGTTCTGACTCCAGCTCGAGGTACCTCTACACCCTTGTCAGGAGGTTATTTCACCCATTTGGGCGATAGAAAGGCTGAGGTCCAGAGGAGGGAGTGACTCACCAAAGCTACAGACTAAGCCAAGTGGAGCACAAGAGGGTGTCTGGAAGCCAGAGTCCCAGCACCAGCCCCCCAGACCCACAGAGCAACCGCTGACCGGGGCCTCGACGCCCAAGAGCCTCTGCGGACAGCCAGCAGCAGGATGGGAAGAACAGCAGCTCCCAAAGCCTGTTCCCTCACCACTCACCCAGGAGGCTAACCAGTCCCTGAAGCTTTGTCCGCTACGGTCCCCTGGGCCCTAGAGCCCCAACAGTGCCAGGCTGGGCAATGGGAGCACGAAACGAGGCCCAAATCCCTGGTGCCCACCCGGCTGCTGCTGGCAGCTTCCAGGCTGTCGACAGGAGCCGCCCGGAGCTGATGCGTTTGGACATTTCTCTGGCTCCTGGGGGCATCGGGCGGGAGTTGGCGCTTCCTGCCACTTCCCCTGGCTGGTCAAGGCGGCAGAGTTTTCTCCTGAGCTCAGGGCTTTGCTCTTGGTTCCGGAAAAACAGCCACGGGCCTTACATAAGTGCCCAGGCACCTAGGCCCGCCACGTGGCAAACTTCCGGGCTGAAACACACCCTCCCTGGGGTGGCTCCAAGCCTGCCCACCGCTGTGCTGGCCTCGGAGCCCACCACCATGCACTGGCCACTCGCTCTGGCCAGATGGGACCCTGAGGCCCCAAAGCAGGCTAGCCGCTCTCTTCCAGGGCCTGCTTCCTCACCCCATTCTCCCAGGGCCTGCCGATTCATTCATGTGTCCACTGAGCACCTACTATGCACGGGCACCGTGTGGACTCAGGGCTATGCCAGGAGACAAGCCCGACTTGGCACTAGGCCCTGTACAGCTCACCCCCCAGCAAGGAAGAGAGATACACCCGTCAGTTAATTTCTCTCTTTCTGTTTTCCCATAGCTCTTACAGCCATCAAACGCAGTGCATAACGTATGCATTTATATCTCCATGATTTGGTGTCTGTCTCCCCAACCTGAAAGAAGGGAATAAGCGAGCAGGGACTGTGGTCTCTGTCATGCACTGCCATATCCACAGCACCTGCAATAGACCTAGAACATAGTAGGTACCCAATAAATATTTGTTGACTAAATGGATAAAAGTTCTGGGAAGTGAATAAGCAAGAGAGAAAGGTGGGAGTAGAGAGAAACCACCCTGCCCTCTCTAAAAGAAGAGACACTTACTCAAGAACAAGAAACAAATGGCACCAGCCAGGAAGAGCACTCCAGGTAGAAGGAACAGAGCATGCAAAGGCCAGGAAGCGGGAACCAGCTTGGTGTGTTTAAGGAACAGGAAGGAGACCTGTGTGGCTGAACCCGGGGCAGGGGCCCAGGGGGCTTTCAGGCAGGGGACTGGTGTGCTATGGGCTGTGCTTTAAAGCCATCCCTCTAGGGGCTGAGGGGTAGGGCAGGGAGGGCCAGGAGGAGGCTGGAGAGCTGGTCTGCCTCAGCTGCTGAAGGTGGGGAAAAGGGGGTGGATTTGAGATAAATCTAGAGGTAGAAACATCTGGAACTGCGCCACCCCCACCCCTCTCCCCAACCCCAGCACTGCTGAAATCCTTCCTGCACCCTCCCAGGTGGAAAGAGCCTCCCCAGCCTCCCAGAGGCCAGGCCTGCAACCGCCCCTTTCCTGACTTCAGACTACATTCACTTTACATCAACTTGCCTTTTCCCTCTCAACTTGTTTTGTTTTTTTGTTTTGTTTTGTTTTTTTGAGTTGGAGTCTCACTCTGTCGCCCAGACCGGAGTGCAGTGGCCGCTCCCGGCCACCGCAGCCTTGACCTGCTGGGCTCCGGCGATCCTTCCGCCTCAGCCTTCCAAGTAGCCGGAATTACAGGCGCGCGCTACCTCGCCCGGCTAATTTTTTGATTTATTGTAGCGATGAGGTCTCACCTGCCCAGGCGGGTCTCGAACCCGCGGGCTCAGGCAATTCACTCACCTCAGCCTCCCAAAAGCACGGGATTACAGGCTGAGCCACCGCGTCCGGCTCAACTTGTTTAAAGCTGTCACACTGGGCTGTAGTCCTCTGTTCTCACATCTGTCTCCTCACTGTTAGGCTCCTCAAGGCCATCGCCCCCAACTCACTCCCCAGTCCCACCCAGCCTCCACTCTCTGACATAATCCCAGTGCCCACCAGCTCCCACACTCTGATCTGCTCCCAGTTCCTACTCAGCCTCCACCCTCTGATCTGCTTTTTTTTTGAGTAGGAGTCTCACTCTGTCACCCAGACTGGAGTGCATTGGCACGCTCACGGCCATCACAGCCTTGACCTGCTGGGCTCAGGTGATCCTTCCCCATCAGCCTTCCAAGTAGCTGGAACCCAGGCATATGCCATCATGCCCGGCTAATTTTTTGATTTTTTACTGTAGAGACAAGGTCTCACCAATTTGCCCAGGTTGGTCTCAAACCCGTGCGCTCAGGCAATCCTCTCGCCTCCACCTCCCAAAGTGCTGGGATTACAGGCGTTGAGCCACCGCACGCAGTGGTGATCAGCTTTTAGTGTCCAGTCTGCCTCTACCCTCGGACCTGCCACTCCCAGTGACCACCCAAACCACCTCCCTCTGACCTTTAGCAGCTGCCTAGGTCACCACCCTCAGAGCCATTTCTCACTTCCAAAGCCTGTAAGTCCAGCCCAGGATCCCCCTTTCCTGTGCCTGTGGCCCAGCTCCTATCCCCAGCTCCTGAGGTGTCTATGGGGCAACTGGGCCCCCCTTGGCTCCAGCCTGTCTGCAGATGGGGCCTCACAGAGATGAAAGAGCTTGCTGTAGGTGATGGTACTGGCGGATTTAAGCTCTGGTCCACTAGGCCCCAGAGTCCGAGCTACCTCCAATATCTTCAAGTCACCTTCCTCTAGGTGCTCCCAGGGCCTAACCCTGACACTCTATCCCCTGGGTGGCCCACCAAGCAGTGGTGTGCCAGTTGGACTAGCCTCCCTGAGGCCCGCCAAGTCTGGAATACACACTCCCATTCCTGACTCTATCAGTCTCTTGGAGCCTCCATGTCCCTTTCTGTAAAGTGCAGCCCTCCTCCTGCCTGCTACAGCAGGCCCTTGTGAAGAGGCAACAGGATGTAGATGGGAAGGCACTCTGGAACTCATAAAGGCAGACGGCCAGGCATGCATGAAGCCAGCTGTGCCATCCCCAGGAGCTGCAATCCCAGCCCTCCCTCTGCCATCACCACTATCACCACCACTGCCATCACCACCACCATCATCACCACCACCACCATCACCGCCATCAACAAAATCACCACCACTATTCCCACCTCCACCACTATCCTTACCACCATAACATTACCATCACCACCTTCATCACCATCACCGTCATCACCACCATCCCCATCATCACTACCACCATCACCACCATCACCATCGCCACCTTCATCACCATCGCCACCTTCATCACCATCATCACCACCACCATCCCCATCATCACTGCCACTAACCATTACCACCACCATCACCACCCTCACCATCACAACCATCACCACCTTCATCACCATCACCACCACCATCCCTGTCATCACCACCATCACCATCACCACCTTCATCACCATCACCACCACCACCCTCACCGTCATCACCACCATCCCCATCATCACTACCACCATCATCACCATCACCATCACCATCGCCACCTTCATCACCATCATCCACCACCATCCCCATCATCACTGCCACCAACCATCACCACCACCATCACCACCCTCACCATCACAACCATCACCACCTTCATCACCATCACCACCACCATCCCTGTCATCACCACCATCACCATCACCACCTTC